ATTTAACTTTATGGTCGGTCAAACGTCGTAAACCGTGTGGGAACCTTAAAGTGGGACGGAAGGAGTACAAAAATAGATATTATATTGGTTGAACTATTTGTTAAGAACTAAAAACTTAAATTTAAACATAATAAACTATAAATATGTATACAGATAAATTAATAAATATGAAAATATACAAGTGTACATGTAAATAAATACATAAATTAGTATATATAAAAAATATATATGTATATATACTAAATGTAGCGGGCCAGGCTTATCGGCCTGAACGGGCCTACACCCTAACCCAAGCCCGCCCATATGTTGTTGCGGGCCGGGCCCGGGCCGGACCGGTGGGTAAATATATATGTCCAAGCCCGCTAATTTGTGCGGGCGGGCCGGCCCGATTTTGTACAGGTCTAATGACAGGTAGTGTGATGTTATAAAAGGTATTATCACATGTGAAATTGTACAGGGTTCGTAAATAATGTATTATATGTGAAAAATGTGTGACTCTATTATTCTTAAGTGTCAATTGATTATGGGTTGTTTGAATCTGATTCTTAAAACTGCTTCTGCTCCTTCAGGGAGCAGAAACAGAAGTTGATGTGTTTGGAAGAAAGTGCATAAGTGATTCTGATGCTCTAATTTAATTACTCCTAGAATCAATTTTTTTAGAAGTTGATTTGGAAGAAAGTGCATGAGGGAGATCAGCTTCTGAAAAATGATTCTGATTCTGCTTCTACTTTAAAAAAGAAACACAAGCATAATCAATTCCAAACACCCTATAATGGATTCATATTCAATAACCGGACCTGTATTGACTATTTTCATCTTTCGAATTCCAAATTGACAACTAACATGTTTTTCATTTTCTCGGTTCATAAAATCACAATATAAAATTATTTAAAATGGTAAAAGAGCTTAACAATTCAAATATTTTTTTAAAAATCAATTATAAAAACATACTGAATTATAGAATTTTTTGGTAATAGTATTAATAGAATTTTTATTAACTAATACGAAACTGACACATTATTAATTTATAACTCAATTTTATTACTACGTATGTAAAATAATACTCCGTATTAGAGATCACAACATTTATCTCTCACGATATCAAGAATGAGTAAATCGAGCGTTAGTAATGAAATCTATAATTATAAGGGGTGTTTGGTTAATGGCCTATCAACCATTTTTTGGCTGATTTGACCAATATTGGTCTTTTGACTTGATGAATCAGCTAATATGTGTGTTTGGTAAAATAGCTTTTTAAGTTGGCCTTTTGTCCCAAACAGCCAAAATTAAAAACGCCAATAAACCTAGCATTTAGGTATCGGCGTTTCGATTTTCCATCGTAATATTCCTACGATACCCTTGTTGCGTTTCTTTCTCGCGGCTTCTGATCTTACTCGCACAGTCATACTTGCAGGCTTCACTCCTCCGAGAGCTACGATTTTCCTTCCTCCAAGGTATGTCCAATCTCTTTCAAATCTGAGAACATACTCCGTAGGTTTCACTCGCAGCCATCTCTTGAACTTCTGTAAAGTGTTTATACATAATACACTCATAAAGAATGAAGAAAATACAGAGCTTTGAGAAGACAATTTTAATATCTTGTTCTGTAATTCGTTTTCCAAACTGATTAGTAATTTCAGTTGTTTATATATGGGCCGTAAACTTTCTTGTTGATACAGAGCTCTGAAAAGATACTTTTAATTTTGATTTCTTGTTAGATACACAGCCCTGTTCTTGAACACCCCCTGAATGCCCGTAAACTTTCTGTAAACATGAGATTTGAGCCTGATATTAAGTTTAAAAATCTTCACTTTTTTGTGTATTATTGGTTTAGATAATAATTACGGAGTATTAAAAAAGCTTATGGATGATAAATTAACAATATATGCTCTAGTATGTTTATATTGAGTGCATATTTAGGGCAGACTTCACTTCTGAAATTTGTTGTGTAAAAGTTTGTTATTAGTTGCTCTTATTTTGAATTTAGTAATGCTGCTATGAATCTTTAAGAAAGTGGAGCTTGTTTTCTTAAGGTATGTTTTGATCATGGATAACAGCTCCACGGAAAGTTAGACCTCATGGAAAGTTAGTTGAGTTTGGTTTCACTATCATTGAATTCAGTATCAAAACATTGAAACTGTGGTGTCCTTTTCTATTTTGCTGCTTTATTATATTTTTTTTACATGAAAAAACAGTATTCTAGGATTTCTACCTTCTCCCTGCGCACAACGGTTATTTTGACAACTACTTAGGAACATCATGCTATTTTGGTCCTAAAATAAGTGCAAATAGTGCAGCTGTTACTGTTGTTTTAGAATGTATAATAATATAGTAGTACATAGCTGGTAGATAATTATATACTACTTCGTATATGCAATTGATCTGTAAAAGGAATTAATCAATGAACAAGACATGAGAAAAGCTTCAGATCACTTTTATAGTTATATTAGGAAATATAATGCAAATTGTAGCTCAAATAAGTATAAACGTCATAAAAGGTTAGGGTATGGTTCTTTAAAAAAAGACTATTAGGATATGGTTCTTGGGAGAAATAGTGAACTGAGATTGTTATTCTGATTTGTGAGTAATGATATAGTGATATAGCTAATGCATATTAGTATTTGTTTTAAACCTCGGCTAAAATAAGAGTAATACGGGATAGTACTAAATGTGGTTAAAGTTTTACTAAAGTAAAATAATGTACTACGTAGTAAATAGTGATATTAGTTTTTTGCTTATTTTCTATAAATATTTCATAAATTATTAATTTAGTACTGTGTTATTTAGATGGATCTCGCTCGAAAAAGATTTCTAAATGATAGTCAAGGAAGTCGAAATAAGAACGCTGAAAGTTAACGAAGTGCAACTATAGGTAGAGTTAGTTGGACAAAAGAGTTAGTACACCTCCTCTGTGACCTCTGCATGCAAAATGTTGAAAGGAATAAGGGGAAAAGTGGTGGAGTAACTGGTCAAAGGTTGGCATGGAAGAAAGTACAAGCTGAATTTGTCAAACATACAAACCTTCATTGGGATAAAGATAAACTTAAGCATAAGGTGGATTGGATGAGACATAGGTGGGGTCTTTGGAAACTATTGAAAGGAAAGGAGACGGGATTGGGGTGGGATCCTGTAAAAGGAACCATTGATGCCTCTGATGAGTGGTGGAATTTCAAGATTAAGGTTAGTTTTTTTTTGTTGTTTAATTTTTTTTAGTACGTGTTTTAATTTTAAGTACTTATAAGTTATTTTAAGCTTTAATTTTGTAAAGGAGAATTCTGCATTAAAGCCATTTCGCGAAGAAGGGATTGAACCTGAACTTGAATCTAAGATGGATCAAATGTTTGGTTTTTATGCCCAAGGTGCATTAAAATACACTCCGGTGTGTGATCTCACAGAAGAGGATATGCAAATTGAAGATGATAATGTGTATGTTCCTTCACCACCTTGTAGTGGTACTCCACGCAATCAGCTTGATGACATAGATGCTTCATATGGTGGTAGTAGTTCTAATACTCGTGAAGCATGGGATGATGTATGGAGAGACGATAGCCCCCCTCATTTCTCTCCTATTGGTACACAAATGGAAACAGATGAAAGAAGGAGCAATAAGAGAGTTGCAGTGAGTGATGCACCACAATCTAATAAGAGTGCACGGGTTGAAACCACAAAGAGAGCAGGTAAAACTAAATCATTGGGTGACAAACTTGATAACATGATGCAGCTCATTGGAGAAAGGAACAATACATCTAAGGGAGTGCATATGTCAATGATGAACGTCATGGACTCAATGGTCACACCAAAGAATGGAGAAATTATTGAAGCACTAGCAAAAATATGTGCTTTGCCAGATTTAGATCCAAGCACACCTGAATTTTATTTTGCTTGCACGATGATTGAGGATCCACAAAAAAGATGCATTCTCCTAGGGTTACCAAATGACCAGATGAGAGTTGAATACATCAAGTTTGTATATGCTGAGCAGAAGAAGAGTTAAAAAGACATCACTATGTTAGCATTACGTTTAATTTTTATCTCTTTTAAACTTAATTATGAAATTATGTTATGGATTGTCATATTTTCGAAACTTTATTAATCTAGAAGCTTCTTTATGAGCTTATATGTTATGGATTTGAATATTTGAACAACCGTATTAGTTTATTATATATGCTTGTCATGTTTTGATTTAATGCATTGACATTATGATTCTGCTATGTTTTTAAAATTCCGTGTAACAATATTTTTTAATTATTATTGGCTTACAGTATTAGTACTTGTATTTTTGTAGGCATGGATGATACTTATATAATCATTCAGAAACTATCCTAATTAAAGAGTATTTGGATGACGATGACGAATTTTGGGATTTGGTAGCTTGTACAACCAGCTATATGTATGTGTACTTTATGAATCACATATACAAAGAGCGTTGTATGACATCTTACTTAACTGGCCAAAGATGGATGGATGAACTATTGTATGGTCATGAAGAACGGTGTTTTAATGCATTCAGAATGAATCCAAGTACGTTTCGTCAATTATGTGCAGATTTGGAAACAAAGTATGGATTAGTCGCTTCAAGTAGGATGTCAACTTTGGAGAAACTTGGCTTGTTTGTGTATGTTCTGAGTAAAGGTTCTTCTAATCGAGATACTCAAGAACGCTTTCAACATTCGGGTGAAACTGTGAGTAGAATTTTCAAAGAGGTATTGAATGTCATGGTAGCATTTTCAAGGGACATGCTTAAACCTAAAGACCTTGAGTTCAAAGAGGTTCCAACACAAATTGTCAATGATACTAGATATATGCCACATTTTAAGGTAACTTGATACTATGGTTATTCCATTTAGTTCATTAAACTACTGCTATAATATTTTTAGTGGTATTTTAATATTAGGATTGCATTGGAGCAATTGATGGAACCCATATTGCAATAACGGTTAAAGAGGAAGATCAAATGCGTTATAGAGGGAGGAAAGGGATACCAACCACAAATGTCTTGGCAGCATGTGATTTTAATTTACTATTCACATATGTTTTGACTGGATGGGAGGGGACAGCACACGATGCTCGCATTTTCCTCGATGCAATCAATAATCTAAGTCTAAATTTTCCGAAACCACCACCAGGTAGTTGATTTTATTTATACTAAGCGCATGGAAAATAAATATTGTATTATTTTTATGTACATATAGGTAAATATTATTTAGTTGATAAAGGTTTCCCAGAAAGACAAGAGTATCTCACACCTTACTTCAAGACAAGGTATCACCAAACAGAATTTCGTGCTGCAAATCCAAGGGGATCTCGAGAAGTGTTTAATCGAGCGCATTCATCTCTAAGAAGTTGCATTGAGAGGGCTTTCGGAGTTCTTAAGGCGCGGTGGAGAATTTTACAAAAAATGCCCATATATTCATTATGTGACCAGAATAAGATAATTTGTTCTTGTTTTGCACTGCATAACTACATTCGGAAAAGCACGATTGGGGATCCAGGTTTTAATATCATTGATCGAGATCCAGATTTCATACCAGATGATATCTTTCGAGACGTTGAGTCTACTTCTGGACAAGGCGTTGAGCATGTGAGAGTCCGTGAAATGACAGTTATTCGTGATAATATTGCAACTAGTTTGATGGCAAGGAAAAGACGTTCTTAGAGAATAGTATGATTTTTTTAAGATATATTATCATTACGATTAAGTGACTGTTAGTATTTTAATTAAGGTGACATTAATATTGAAATGCATTTTTTTTTACTTTTGTTAGACAACTTTTTTAATGTATTTTTACTTAGTAACTCCCTTTTCTTGTCAAGCTATCATTTAAATTTATTAAAAAATGAACAATTGTTTAAAAGAATTATTAATTGTCTTCTTAAGTTTTCATTTTTGAATTCATAAAATTGATTTAAGTATTGATACCAATAACATCATTAGTGTATGATAAGTGCATATATAAAAGCGTATTATAAATTAATGTGTGTGTGTAAGTGTACAATTAAAATAATTAATTGATGTCCTTAAAGGTCATTTCACAAGTTATCAGCTGATTGTAATCAACCATTTTAACCAAACACCATTTAGGAAACTGCTAATACTATCAGCTAATCAAAACAGCCAACATAAACAGCTATTGTAAAACAGCTGACACAATCAGCCAACGGCCAACAGCCAACAACCAATTGCCAAACACCCCATAGTAGAGAGAAGTTTCAAGCAGCAAGGTGAGCATTAAATGCTTGTTTCATTAGGACAGCTTGCCGAGCAGTATTTTCTTGTTGCATTAGAAGAGCCCGCCAATTAATTGAGGGAGGGGAAGATTACTAGAGGAATTTAAAATGACTGCTTTTGGCGGAAGTTGTCTAGCCATTTGAACATTCAATATTACTCAACGCCAAAGCAGCAGTTGCTTCCTCTGGCTTAGAGTATTGTACGTAACCTAAGTGTTTCGACTCAGTAATGCTACAATCAACAGTTGTTCCTGAAACCCCAAAGAGTTGCTTCAACTGATCCAAAGTTAGAAGAGTTGCTAACTTGCACAATTTTTTCAAGGCAATTGGCCGCTGTCTCTTTCCCAGCAGATCCTAATGGAAGCAAACAATACATGCAATCATAACATGTCTCAGTTTACATAAAGTTTACTTAGGGTTTGTTTGCAACTCCTTTTAAAAAAGTATTTCTCAGCTTTTGATTTTAAAAAAACACTTATTTTCCCAAACACTACAACTTTTATTTTTCTCGGCTTCCGTGTCAAAAGTGCTTTTACTTTTTCTATTACACAAAAAACACTTTTTACCAAACACTACCCACTTTTACTTTTCAAAATCACTTTTTTCTCAAACATTATCAACTTTTATTTAATCACTTCTCCCCATTTCATTAAAAAAAGCACTTTTTTAAAAGCAGAAGCTGTTGCAAACAGACCCTTAAGGGGTGTTTGGACTCGATTCTGCTTCTGCAAAAGTAGAAGCAGGATCGCAACCAATTTTTCAAAAGCTAGTCCCCCCAACTTCTAAAAAATTGCTTTTAGGAACAATTTGGAGCACCCAGAAGTACTTCTGCAATTTTGCCCAAACACTCCAATATCTATTTCATACAGTTTAAAAAAGTAGATCCAAACACCCCTAATCTTGAGTATGGTAATGCTTTGGAACACAAGAAAAATACATTGATCACATTAATCTATTAATTGGTGCTTGAGATGTTCGATACATATGGGATGGAGGAGCCATGGAGAATAGGTACCTTGTGGAGCCATGGAAGAAATAAAGGCATTTAGGAGCAAGTAATCAGGGTCTAGGCATGCATGTCCGAATAGATACTTGGGAGAGGTGTCGTATGCATGTGGTATTGCTAGCCCTAGTAAGCATCCATATAACTTACTTGATACGGAGTACTTTTTAAGTTGAACGATTTAGGAGATAGATTTGGAATAGTAAAAGGGCTTATTAAATAATCTAACCTATACTTTTTGAAATCAAACTGAAATCAAATTATGAATTAATTACCATATGTAGCACTCAGAAACTTTGACCTACTGAAGCTATACGTATTTGCAACAAGTTTGTAGAATTTCCTAGATCTGCTTGGTACTTCTTGAAAAGCCAACTTGTGCTTAATAGAGGATTCTTGAAAAGAAAACATGTGCTTAATAGAAGAAGTCTATCCATAGCACTAATAGGAAGAACTAATATGCTCAAAGAACCTAAGAACAAGAAAGTTTCTTTACTCTACAAAAATCAACCCAAAAACTCACCAGCATGGCGCAATTATGCTTTTGCTTTCAATTTTTTTTATTAAATGTAAGAAATTAAGAACTGTTAGAAAATAGAATAGGTTATAGGTGTATGAATATGATAAGTGATGTTAGTGAGGTGTAGTGCAGAAGAGATGTTTTAGAGTAGAGCTCTTGTCTCTAGAAAAGTTGTATTGTATTGATGTTGCTTGGTTTGCAAATGAGTACAATGAGTCCTATTTATAGGTGCATGAGGATCATTCTGGATCCTTATTAAATGCTATGATTCTAGAGTATTCTACAACTATGTCTAATTACTCTAGATTTTACATAAGAATTCTCTAGTGGAGAATTCTCTAGAATACTTGTAGCTATAGTTCTCTAGAACATCTCTAGCCTTTTCTACATAAAATATTCTAGATAAATGCATCACTTTTAATGCTCCTCCTTGATGCATTTGTCGGTGACTCCAAGTATTCTTCGCAGGAACTGGATCCTATCTCTTGGTAGAGCCTTCGTGAAAATATCTGCCAACTGTTCTTCTGTTGGACAATACCTCATCTCAAAATGTCCATTTGCATGAACATCTCTCAAGAAGTGATACTTGATATCGATGTGCTTAGTGCGATTGTGTTGAACTGGATTTTTAGCCATCGCAATAGCTGACTTGTTGTCTCAAAAGATCTCTGTCGCCGAGCTTTGTGATTCTCCCATATTTTCTAATATTCTTTTTAGCCATATAGCTTGGCACGCTGCTCCGGCTGCTGCAACATACTCTGCTTTGGCTGAAGATAGTGCAAAAAAATCTTGCTTCTTTGATCCCCATGAGAAAGTTTCCGAACCCAGCTTAAATGTGTGACCGGATGTGCTTTTCATGTCATCTTGAGATCCGGCCCAATCACTATCGTTGTATCCAGTTAGTCGTGAGCCGGGGCTTGTTTTGTACCAAATACCATAGCTAATTGACCCTTGTAGGTACCTAAGGAGCCTCTTTGCCGCTCCATAGTGAGTCTTAGGTTGACTTTCCATGAATCTCGAGAGCAAGCTTGTAGCATACATGATGTCCGGCCTCGTAGTCGTTAAGTAGAGTAGACTCCCAATCAAACTTCGGTAATTGCTAGCATCCATCTGCTTTGACCCATCTTCTTTCTTCAATTTTTTCATTAGGAACCAGTGGAGTAATGACGGCTTTGTAGTCTTGCATTTTAAACTTCTTTAGCATGTCCCTAATATATTTTTCTTGAGATAAGAATATGCCTTCTTCTTGACTTATCTCCATGCCAAGGAAGTAGTGCATTAATCTCAAGTCACTCATCTCAAAGTGTTCATCATGTCTCTCT